GTCTCTCGGTCTCTCTCTCTGTCTCTCTTTCTCTCGCCATCTCCACCTACCTGAAAAGTCCTGCCATGCTGGGTTTGCGTAGACCGTCAGAATGCCCACACATGTACGCGATGTGTACTCGGGACTTGCGCGGTGGCTATTACATTGGGTTCAGTCGCCGCGAACGAGCAGTGTCGTGTGATCCAATAGGGATTTCTCTCCGTGAGTCCGATGTGTGATAGGGAGTCTATGACGTTCGGGGCCATTTGATCGTGACGTTTGATTGGGCCGTGTGATGAAGGCAGAGATCGCCTCTCTGTCGCGCTCTCTCTCTCTCTCTGTCTCTTTATCTCTCTTTCTCTCTTTTATCTCGTTCGTTTCACTGCGCTTGTCTGTGTCGTTCGCACAAAGTTTGCGAACGTATGATAAGCGCATACAAACGAACGAGACAGAACCAACAGCGTTGTGTTCCACCACCATCCTCGTCAGTTTTCTATCAGTGCCTCTATGTCGTTCGTCTTTTCCGTCGGCCTGCTTTCGCGAATCTAGTTCCATTGCGACCACTCGCCCCGATCAGATGGCACACTCACACGTCCACGTCGCAGGTCTTGAATAAGCGTGGGCTCGCTGATCGATGCGGGGCTCTATGCGGCAACAGAATGTTGTCGAATACAGCCCCGCACCCATCAACGTCGCCACACATGCTCACGACTTGACACGTGGACGTGTGTGCCGTCGTGTTCAACTACCATCTTTGTCCCCGTCGTTAGTTTGTCTTCAGTGCCTCTATTTCGTTCGTCTTATGCGTTAGCCTGTTTCTTTCGCGAACTTACCTCGGGGTGCGTTTGCGGATCTCGTTCCATTAGCGACCACTCGCCCCGATCAGATGGCACAGTCAAACGTCCACATGTCAGTTCCTGAACAAGCGTGTGCACGCTGATGGATGCGAGGCTCTATGCGGCAGCAAAATGGATGTCAGTCTCCAATATAGCCCCGCACCCATCAGCGTGGCCACGCATGTTCAGGACATGACATGCGGACGTGTGAGTGTACCATCTGATCGGGGCGAGATGAAGCAGTTTCCGGAGCAAGAATGCATGCGTTTCATTGGCGATCACTTGCACCGATCAGATGGCACACTCAGACGTCCACGTGTCACGTCCTGAACAAGCGTGGCCACGCTGATGGATGCGGGGCTCAATGCGACAAAGGGGCTCTATGTGGCAGCAGAATGGATGCGAGGCTCCAATATAGCCCCGCGTCCATCAGCGTGGCCACGCATGTTCAGGACATAACATGCGGACGTGTGACTGTGCCATCTGATTGGGGAGAGATGAAGGAGTTTCGGGCGAGATGAGTGTCCTCCACATTTTTTCAAATTTTTCGCTAGTCTTCCTCTTGCCGACACGAACAATTTTTTCTTAAATTTCTTTCGTGCCGTTTTATTAACGGGTCACATTGCGAATTCCGAAATGGACAACACCATCCGCAGGATTTGCACATGGAGAGACAGAGAGCTAAAGACAGGCTCTCTCGCTGCGCATCCTCTCCTTGTCGACGTCTCTATCGATCTTAGTCTCCCTTCCGTGTCTATGCGGGTTTTCTGCCTTTCTCCAATCCTTTTGTATCGCAGATAGTCGCTCAACCGATCTCAGGTTGGTCCCCCCCTGAGTGCAATCACAGATCMRTAATTCGAAGACGRMTACGACAGATTCGAAGACACAGGAGGCGAACGTGAATTCAAATCTTTAAACCCTATCAAACCTCGCGTCAGCCGAACACCGCGAGGAACCCTTCCGCTGACTTGGACATAGGACAGGATACGGAGTGATCAGATGCTCATAGGGTATTGTCGACGGCAACATGTTTGACCAACCAGGAGGACGGCAGCCCACCCTGTCCATACCATCTTGTGGTGGTGCAACAACTGGGCCACCCTTGGTAATTTCAGTTGCATCAAAGTCACAACCCACTAAAACTCATGGGGCGACCACTAACCGAGGCAACCCGACGAAGTTCGGATTAATCCGAGCCACACTGACGGCATATTCGGATTTGTAACATGCACAGACGGTATTTACAACGTCGAACGTTCCGATAAACGTGAACGACGAAGTCACACGCTGTCAAAAGACTGTTCCATCTCGGATAAATCCGAACCACACCTCCGACAGGATAGGGTCCATCCTCTGCTCACAGGTCATTGAGAAAAATACGCCGTGCCCATATCCTCCTCTAGCGGTCGGCCTAATTCGGATGCATCCGAGTCACAACGTCGGTCTTGACTCTGCCCAGTTCGGATGTGTTCGAACTACCACGCTGTCTTCGTCGTCGACCATTCGCTCTAAGAAGAGCAGTCTGATGACGAAGGTCAACGATGCCTCGGATTCATGCAACTAAAACGAGTCGAGATGGTTACGCTTGGTGGAAGAAAGACGAGCTTGAAACTTGTGTTGCGACTACAGCAAACGTGTCTGTTGTTTGGATTGGGCGAGCAACAACCAACTAAAACTCACGACGACGACGATATCCCCTGTGATGACGCACATATTATAATGACACACTACGGCAATCGCGGGGAGGTCCGGTGTGTGGTGGGGCTACAACAAAGCGAAGCGCCTCGGCGAAGTCGGATTAATCCGAACCACATGCGCAGACGGTATTTGACGACGTCGCACGGTCTGATAAACTTGTACGTCAAAAGCACACGGTGTCGGCGTAGCCTGTCGTGGTCGCACGTATCGGGACAGCCTCTGTCGAAATCGGATGAATCCGAGCCACACCCGACTTAAACACTCATGGACGAAGACACACCGTGCGAAATTCGGTTGGACCAGACGACAGCTGGGGAATAACGGATGCTTGGATGGCTGGATGGGCGTCAACAGACCGTGGGGTCCATCCGCCGGTCCCAGTCTCGGATTAATCCGAGCCACATTTGCGAGGTTCAGGTTCAACCGAACCGAACCTCCGGCAGGATAGGGTTAACCCAGTGCTCGCAGGTTGGTGACGAAAACACGTGCTGTAGATGACCTCTTGTGGACGACCGTCTCTGGACCGCGCTGTTCAAATTCGGATGCATCCGAGTCACAGCCGTTACCGACTCAGAAGGACAAGAAAACTCGAGTTCGGTTTCGTACGGGCCGACAGGGGGAGGTCCACACCGCTTTGTAGCTCGGATTCATCCGAACTACAACGACGGACTTTACAATCCACTTGTCGACTTCGGATGACAACGTATTCGTCTTCGTCTGCCGTATCAGCGTTCTAGGGCCTTCTTGCGAGGTGTTGCTTTTCCCGGTGCAGGTGCCTATGCGACATCGGTTTTTCGATTGCGCCTGCTTCGGATGAATCCGATCTATCCCACGGTCTTTGTTTTCGACCATTCATTCTCTCAAGGGCAGTGTGACGAGGATGGCTCACGATGCCTCGGATTCATCCGAAAAGTCCAGGCTTGTGGACCACTGTCGTCTAACTATGATTGAACTTCGTTCTTTTGGAGTCCGGGTGACCAATGACAGAATACGTGTTGTGGGTCGTGGTTGATGTTGGGACGTGCTGACTGTTCTGATTGCATGTGGGTTCATTTCCTCCGTGTGTTTCAGGGAATGGCTACGCACGGACGAAGCCGCTCCGCTGGTGGTTCCGCCCCGCACGGAGAGGAGCGTCGAGGGACGACGTCGTCGTCGGCAAGGGAAACGAGTCGGGGAGTTGGAGGTGGGGAGGAAGAACGACGTGCTCAAAACTTGTGGTGCGACTACAGCAAACGTGTCTGGTATTTGGACTGGGCGAGCCAGGACGGCTCCCACCCGTTGCAACCACCGTGCGGGCCGCTCTTGTTCGTCACCGTTCGCGCCGACAAAACGCGTCTCGCAGGGTCCATCGTCCAGTGGGTCGACGATGGCGAATTCAATTTCAAGTTTACGTTGAAGAAGCGTTACAGAAGTGATGGTTTTGTCGACAGCATCGCAAAGGGATGCAAGGTTGCCGGGAGGATGTTCGGCGGGTACGGCCGTCGTGCGATGTCTTTGCCTCACTTTCTCCCGCTAGCTCCGGGGCCCAATGAGGTCGTTCACGTCACAGACTTCCTCGAGGTCTGGGCGAAATCTGGTACCTCTGTCAGTGCTGTGGACGTCGGACCTGGAACATCGATCAGTGGTCCTGTTGGGTTCGTGGGAGGAGAGTGCTCTGAAAGGGAGAGGGGAGGTCAGGGTGGCCTGCCAGCTACGCCTCCTGATCAAGAGGTGGGCATGTTAGACGACTCGGAGGACGACCATCCGCGTGCTCCTTTGAAACCGGGCTTGCATATATCTCGCCGCCATGGTTTGCTTGGGGAGTCGACGCCACATGGAGGCGGCGATGGCGAACGGTTGCGACAGGGCTCAGAATCGATGACTCCTCGTGGTCTGGTCGAAAGGATCGGTTCGTTCGTTCGTGGCATGCAGGTGGTCAAGATTTCGCCTGGAGATCGAGCGGGTGGTCCGCAGGTTCGAGAGGCGCGTGGGTCAGATGAGACGACTCGCCGGGCCCGACCAGCGCCTGGGGAACTACAGACGGAGTTGAGCCAGGAACGAGAAGCAAGTGGGAACGTCGCCGGTGAGGAGGAGGTGTCCGAGTAGGGGCTGTTCGGTGAGAGATCGGCTGAAAAGACTCAGTCGGGAGGCAAGCGCAACTTGCCGGATGAGGAAGAGCGAGAGGGACTAGGTGCTCTGAAAAGGCAGAGAAAGGTAGGAGGGAGTGTTCGGACGCCAACAACACAAGAGGGCGGTTCCGTTGAGAAGAGAAAAAGGGTTGGAGGTGGGGATGAAACGCCAAAAGACTCGTCGACACAGCGAAGAATCGGTGAGTCTTCCGGGAAAAGGGCAAAATCATCGAGGGGGAAGAAAGCTGACGAGGGCGACAACGGGGAGGGGGATGATGACGTGGAGATTAACCTCAATGCCTTTAACCTCGACAATGCGTTCTTCCTCGATATGCAGACAGGGGTGCAGAAGGACGTCGTGTTGCACATCCATCCCGAAAGAATTTTAGCTATTCCAGACTAGGAAGACGCGTACAACCACCGATCCTTGGATGAGTTCTTCGTTGATACCATCGCGGCTATGATCGACTGCTACGAACGTAAAGACATGAGATACACGAAGCCCATTTTCGTTCTCGCTCCGATCGTCGCGCCTCCAGAGAACGGCGAGCCTGCTGTGCGCGTGCTGCCTGCTGACTTCGACAACTCACACCCGGAGAAATACTGGTATTATCCTGTGTGTGGACAGCATAACGCGAGGGCGGCGATGATGGTGAAAGACCATCCCGTGTTTGATTACTACAATTTCTGTAAATGGCCGTTCAGACCGATCTACTTCCCTGACGACGAGTTCGATGGCTACGCCCATGTCAGCTGCGAAGACAACATGAAAGACAAGAAGAATCCACCGCGCTTGCAGGTTTTGTCTATGCGGGACATTCGCAATATCTGGAAAATAAAGGGCAAACCGCGTGTGGTGCTCGGCAATGCCTCGAAGAAACTGGACGAGGTACGAAAGTGGGTGCGGTTCATGGCATTGGCAATGAAGAAGACGCCGTACACGCCTATCTGGAACCTGTCAACGAAAGCAAAGAAAAAAAAGGAATGGGCTGAGAAACTTCGATACTACCTCCCGCTGGTCAAGGCAGATGACTCCGTCTTCGCTTTCGGGTTGAAGTTCTATGAGGAGTGGTCGAAAGGGAAACTCCTTGCTTCCGACGGCCGGCGTTGGACTGAAAAGCCGCCCACCCATGAGGAGGTAACCAAGCCAGGCCTCTCCACTGTGACTGACAGCCAGGGGCTGAAGAAACACATTTGGTACGTGAATTTGGACGACCCGTCGTTGAAAAAGGGGAAGGGGAAGCCAAAGAAAGGCGCGGAGGAGAAAACTTTCTATCTAAGTTCCGAAGCCGGATGTCCACTGCTGGAAGGAATTGGTGGACTTGACGGACCGCGAGAAGAAAAGACTGTTGAACGGCGTCTTGAACCTTAACGTCGTGTGGGTTCAAACGAGTAGCAAAAAGTTGGCCGAGCAGGGGAAGTTCAGTGTCAAGGAGATGGTCGACATAATAAAAATGGACCGGATTATGCTGAGGCTGTGGCACTACGTGGAGTTCGAGTACGAGGAAATGGATAAGCGGGAGTGGAATGCCAACTCCACGTTCTTCAGGTCCAAGAAGCAACTGCTCGAAGAGTTCAAGGACAGGGGTCTCGACGACAAGCTTTGGAACGAGAGCAGGAATTTTTTCACGGACACCACATACGTCAACAAGTGCCCTCAGTTTCTCGGGTGTCATCACGACAACAACATCAAGAGAACGGCGGCCCTCGTCAACGACCAGCATTTCCCGGCGGAGTGGAAGCGTGTCGTCCTTTCGGTGATCACTGGAGATCGCGCCAAAGGCAAAAAAAACCCTCGGGGCGTTGATGAATGCATCAACATTATGTGGACAAGGACAAGCGCCTTGACGACACTGGCCCAGTTTAATGTCGACCCATTGACTGCCATAGATCACAAGGCCGTGCTGGGAAAACTAGGGCATCAGCTACGCTCCCACACTTGCGTGCTCGACTTGTGCGGAACTATTGACCGTGCGCAATGGGACTCTGGGGCATTCGCGTCTCTGAGTGAGTTGCTGGGCTTCGTTTATCAGGACTACTGGATATTGGTGGTATTTGTCCCCTGCCTGTGGAACCTCTCCTTCATGACATTTTTGGCTGCGCTTGGGGCTACCCGATGCTGCGCGGGGAAGTGGGTTCGGAAGACGGCATCGAAGAAGACGCATCAGTTCGGAAACATCGTCTGGGAGGAGCTGGATGTGATTCACATCCTTTTCAAACGCGAGGATCCTCTGCCACTGACTCACCCGGTGTACGAGGGAGCTGTTGATGAAGACGACGCCGCCACTCTCCGGAGGAATCAGAAAGTGACACCCACGGATGTGGAAGAGAAGTCTTTCAAGTCTATGACTTTCGCGGACATCGGAAACCTGACCCAGAGGGGGGCTCTGTACAAGGACGGCGAGCGGAATCCGAATCAGCTGTGCAATCAACTTCTTTTCTTCTGTGGTGTGGCGGATGCCGTTGTGTTCTTGGGCAAGCCGCACGCGCAAGTGGTGTGGAGTCTGCTTCAGCAGGGAAGGCACGTCTTGGCCGTGGATGGGGACACAACGCAGCTCGAATACACCGTGCAGTATGTCACCCATGAAGTGTCGTCCAAGGCTTTCCCATGTGATTTCCACCATGTCGTGGTCGAGCCCGTTTATGACCCGAACAAGGACATGTTCTTCAAGTTGACTCCGAAGAAAAGGCGCCAGGTCTACTCCTTCCTTTACGGCGAACAACCAAGGTTGAGATTTGACCCGCAGTACGTGGTGCAGAAGGAAGTCGCCATTGYGGTCCTCCAGGGCTACCACGGAGCGAGTCGGGCCGGCGCTGTGAGCTTCATTAAGAGGCTGGAATATGTCTTTTTTAAYGAGGATGTTGTCGATCYGGCCGACTTCACTTTGGATAAGTACAAGCTGGCATTCGGTGAGGAGGATGACTTCAATATCGAGACTGAGCAGGAGGAGAGCGTTGAGGACGACCTCTTCGATTTGGACGGGCAATTGGCCATCTTCAACGCCCAAGTTTCTGAGTCGCCGTCAGTATGCAAATCGGGGACACCTCTCGCTACACCTACCTCGGGCGGTCCCACGCCCGTGTCCTCCTCAGCGCCTATCAAGAGGGGTGGGTTGTCCCGTCTGAGGAGTTCGCCGGGGGAGCCTATTCGTCTCACGCCGCAGCCCGAACGTCTTCGACCCGGCCATCCAGTTCCTCCGGACCATCCACATCTCAAGGCTCCTGCGACTCCCTTCCACATGGGCGACAAATACACCTTCTCCACAGCCGAAGATTGGGGCCATGATATCGTGTGGCACCCAGACCATTTCCAGCCAGTCCTTCTCGACGGCGAATGGGCAGTGGCTGTGAGGGACGTAAGTGGAGGGTGGATATATGACGATCGTTGGGACCTCGAGACATTCGAATCTCGCATCTACGATGCGGTATTGGAGAGATTAAGTGAGGTCAATCGACGAAGTAAGGACGACCCTGCTCTTCGCGAATACGAGGACACGCTGTTCGAGTTCTTGCAGTCAAATAAATGGTTGAAAGTGTCCTCCGCGTTCTACGCCCTTCCGTCAAGCCCGTTAATTAAGCAAGTGAGTTGGGAGTTGTCTGGGGTCACCCCGCCGGCAGGAGTTGTGAAGCGCAAGTCTCGCGGAAAGGACGGCGACGGGGATGGTGAAGGCGGCGGGCAACGAGGTACCGGAGGTGGAAGTGAACAACGTTCGATGAAACAGCGGTCTCCGGGGCACGCAGGCGGCGGAGAGGGGAAAAAGGGCAGCCGGGAGAAGAAGAAGCCTCGCAGCGGAGAGAAGACAAAGCATCACAGAGGAGACAGGCAGGGGGCCGATGTCGACCGCGACGAGGACGGCGGGGTTAACAGGCAGCACCTCAATGGAGACGGGGAACGACTTGAGGCCTGGGTGTATTACGCAGCCTGGCAAGCAGGATCCTGTGATTAGCTCCACCAGCGAAACACAGTTTGTCGATGTGATTGGCGGGGTGGGTGTCGCAAAGCATGGAACATGCTTCGCTCAGCTCCAAAAACGGTTGGCGGATTGTCTCGGATCAATCCGAACCTCGGAGACAACCTCGTTGTCCGGAACTCAATGCCTTCCGGGAAGCGAGACGACAATATACCACTGGTCCGGCAACGACAAGCTGGAACCATGTTCCGTTTCGCCTCAAAAGGAATTTCGGATTAATCCGAACCGCGAAGGTCGTGCCATCGAGGGAGCACAACTGTCTACAATACTCGAACGAGTGGTCCGGGTTTCCAAAAACCCTGGCGACGGAATTCGGATTCATCCGAACTAGGAAGCCGTGTCTGCCATGACAGACAATCGGTGTCAGGATGCAGTAATGTTGTGCGTGGAAGCCCAAAAGGAGCTGCAGGCGGACTGTCGGACTGAGGGTGAGTTGGCGACCAGTTCCAATGTCGAGCCCAACAGACTCGGAGCCGAGTTAGCAGTCGTAAGCGACTCCCCGGTGAAAGCGGTCATGTCGGCGTCATTGGAAACTGCGGGGGCTCGGATGAATCCGAACCAGGGCCCTGTGAACATCTCCCTCCCTGATGCATCTTTGGAGACGATCGTGATTTGGATTCATCTGAGGCACACGGACGAAGGACTTCAACTGGCAGGCGTTGAGGGTTGTCGACTACTGACGACTTTGGACAAGGACAATTCCGCCGACGACCGGATTGATCCGACACTCAAGGACGTCGGGATGGAGCTACCAGTTCAGCCGGGATACGACGATCCCTTGTACTCGCCCTTCACAACGAGGCGATGGGGGAGGACGATCTGAAGAAGGCCTCTGACCCTGTTGGAGATAGATTTCTTTATTTGAGTGACGACGACAAAGACACAGCGTACGGGGCAAGAAGTTAAGGGGGGGAGAGGTGTTGTTGGACATCCATGGGACATTGAGCCCAACAAAATACGACACAGTGGCAATGGAGAAAACACAACCTGCCGATGTTGTAGACGTCGACGATCTTTATCCGGAGACGAATATACCATCTACTGTCATCGACGCCGACATCTCGAGCCTGTCAAGTTTCCCTGTGGGTTTGGAGCATGTCGTTGCCTCGTCGACGCACGCAGGGGTGCCAATCGTGTTGGGACTGCCGTCGGTGGGCTCTGGTGAAGTGGTAGTTAGGCCTAGTAAGCACTGACTTTCTCTGCTTCCTTCCCGCTCGTCAGCCCGTTCGTGAAGTGTTGTTTGCTTCGTCGATTTCGGGGAGGTGTATAGGCGGCCGCCAACTGGATTGTGACGATGTGCTTCGTGAGGTGTTGTTTGCTTGGTTGCTCTTGCGAACTTGTGTTGTTGATCTCCAGCTCAACTGTCTGGGTGGCTATTTCTTGTACAGGTCGACGAACTCGTGGACAAACACCCATGTCGCAGGAGCCGCCTGCCCTCGCCAGGTTATCAGTCCTGGTTGCGGGAGGCACTGGTCATCGCAATGTCACTGATGCGTTTCCTGGGAACACTAAGCCTCGAGGCCCTCCCAGAAGGGTAGTCGTGCCCGTATTGGGCTCCCGCGCAAGACTCGTTGCAAAGGCAGCGGGAGTTGCCGAAAAAGACTGCAAGGAATTCCTTCTCGAGGGTTGCAGGGATAAAAAGGATAGTGCTAGTTTAGAATCAACTGTGTCTAGAAGGTCCAGAAGTAGGGGTGACGTTATGCGTGAACTTTTCGGACCACAGAGTAGCGGTTCCTCGGACCATGGCCGCTAGGACGGCATTTTCTCATTGTGCCCCGTCCTTTGTGCTTGCTGTGTGCTGCGGGTGTTTGTTGAACAGGATTTCCTCGAGATGGAAGAGCGGTCCTTGAAGATGGTATCTGCTCCCGGTTGCCGCTTACTATCATCGTCTCGCGTTTGCCGTCGCACAGTTTACAGGTATCCGTAAAGGACATCGTTGCACTCGTGGATAGATCCGGGGAGCTCAACGATGAGGTTGTCAATTTCTACATGGCGATGCTACTGGACGACTGTGGCCGGACTGCCGCTACCATGAAGACATACACCTTTAACTCTTTCTTCGCCTCTTCACTGCTTCTGTGTGGTCCAGCAGCTGTTCTCAGATGGGCTAAAGATGTCGAACTCCTGTCTCATGACCTCGCCTTGGCACTGGTGCACAAGGACGGCGAACACTGGAGCCTTTTGGCCATTGAATTCTCTAGATGTGTTTTCGAAATCTATGATTCTTTCTCGAGTTCGTCAGCCAAAGATTCCTCCTGCTCCGCACTTCTGGATAAAACTGTTAAATTTTTGAACACGGTGGCAGGTGCCGCCGGTGATGGTCGCACTTTCGACCACTTCGCTCGCGAGGTCAGCGTGAAAGGTGTCCCTCGGCAG